CATCGCCCATGTCATTATCGGTCGAATGAAATGTTCATCCAAAAGCTGCTTATCGATATCTCGTTTTCTACGTTCCCTTTTCACCTCTACCCTCTTTCTGCTAGTTCTTTTCTCCTGGTTTTTTCTTTTTCTTTTCTTTTTTTCCCTATTTTTCTTGTTTTTTTTTCTTTTTTCTTTTTATATCTATTTTCCTCTTTCACGAAATTTTTCTAACTTTTATCTTTGTTATTATCGTTTTTATTTCTGAAATCGTTCGTTTTTTCTTCTTCTTTTTTTTTTTTTTTTTTTTTTTTTTTTTATTATTAGATAAAAGATACAAGGAGGATAGATAATGGGGGGAGGAATGGGCAGCGAGGGGGGGAGGAAATATGATAGAATTATCGACAATTCGAATTGTTATTTGAATACCTTCGAATGCGGCTCGTAGTATGGAGGCTGCGTGATGTAATATTGTTAATAACGGGAGACCATCGTGTTATAATAATCCGTCAAAATCCGAATCCTTCGCCGTCGGTAGCGTGTAACGTGTGTATTTCGAGTGTGATTGACGAGTCTATTAAGTCCATGCTCGTTCGCTCGGCTTGTGGGAGAGGTGTGGTTATTAAAAAAAATAAAAAAATAAAAAAATGAAAAAAAAAATAAAAAAAAAACGGAAAAAAAGAAGAAAAAAGGACGAAGAAACAAATTAAAAAAAAAAAAAAAAAAATAACGAAAAATGAACGAATTATTTTATAAGGCTTTTAACGTCGAAAAACATCGGTTTCTATTAACAGCTTACGTTGATGCACGGTCAGTCATGCAATGTGTACGTTCGAATCGCGTCATTCTTGTCAATTTTGTTGTCGTTATTGTTGTTATATTTAACGCGTTATAAACGTGTTTACATCGAAGATGTTAAATTCGTACTGGAAATAATTCAAAAGGGTCTATGTCCTTTCCGTTTATGCGTTTACGTGTATGCGCACGGATTTACGTCTTCCCGTACCCGGAAATACATCAAAACGAACGCAATCAGGTGTCATTAACTTTTAAACGTATCGCGAGATATTTATCCCTCGTTCTCACCGACACAACACTGACCGATTGCAAAATACATACATATACAGTTATATGGGCACATATATATATATATATATATATATATGTATGTATGTATATATATATTCTTTTTTTTCTGCGCTCACCTTTTCTACATGTAATGGAAATACCGCAGTTTCATTTTATCGGGTAACGTTTCGTTCATCGGCTGACGAAACGTATTTCCCACGTGTAACGTGTATCATTAAAAAAAATAAAAAAAGAACAAAAAAAGACCAACAAACAAAATAAGCTTTGGCAAATATGTTACTCCCTCTTTCTCTCTCTTTCACTCTCTCTCTCTCAATTCCTCTCTCTGTTTTTTCCATAACGAATGGATGAAAATTACGGTTTGTTTGGTTGAAAAGTTAAAAAAAAGAGAGAGAGAGAGGGTGAGAGAGAGAGTGAGAGAGAGAGTGAGTGAGTGAGTGAGTGAGTGAGAGTGAGAGAGAGAGAGAGAGAGAGAGAGAGAGAGAGAGAGAGAGAGAGAGAGAGAGAGAAGAGAGAGAGATGATTCGTTCACGTCGAAATCACGTTCCATCGTGTGCAATGAGCTTAACATTTGAAAAAGCAACGATGAATCCTTATCCATTGCAGTAGTCCATTCGTTTGGTGTTTCTTTTATTCGGTTATATATGTATCTATCAGTGATTAACATCGAGTGAGAAATTTGAATCGGTAAATTTTGATAATTACTATCGTCTTAAATAAAGAAAGTTCGATGGTACGAACATTGGAAAATTTCTGTCTTGTAAGTAAAATAAAGAAAGGGATGATAAAGGGAGAGAAACGATGATGAAAATGAATGCGATACAGGTGACAGATTCGAAGGAGCTCCAGGTGCCGTTCAGCACTGCGGCGTCCCTCGGTTACGGTCTTCATCATATGCTTCACCTGCCACCACAATTTCTTCATCCACTGGACCATCGGTTACCATTCGCTGGGTTCAGGCCCCTTGGGCCTTCTGCGTTCGCGCCACCGAGCAAGTGCCTCAAGGTCGAGACGGGTAACGGTTCGGTAGCCGGCTCGGGTCTACCAAGCATCGGCTCTCTTTCGAGTATGTCGAATATGTTCTCGCCTACGTCCTTGCCTCCCTCCGCCGGTGGAGGAGCAGTCGTCTCAGTTTCGGGCCCAGGAAGCACGGCCACCGGTTCGGGCTCTGCTAACGTCGTTGGTGCTGGTACTGGTGGTGCTGGTGCTGGTGGTACAACCAGTGGTGCCGTTTCATCTGTGCTATCTTCTGGACCGGAAGGTGCACCTCACAGCCCGGCTGGTTCCGCGAGCCGTTCTCCGACGGGTACCGGGACCGGCTCGGCGCCGAATCGAGGCCCAACCCCCGAGGAGGAGGATCGAGACGCCAACGCCACACCCGGATCCGAGAACACCGAGCGCTCCACCCCCGAGGAGGGACGACCTTACAGAC